GTTTTAGGACATTGTTCACTAGAGAGTTTAAAGTGGTTTGCAATAGGCAAGGTTACAGATTTGCATTCAAGCATAGCAAACTTTTCAAGTACTTTGTTCACATAAGAGTTTTGATTCACATATAAGATGCAATTTTTCCTATCTCTTTTTATTTCCATTCCTAAAATTCTGTTAGCTTGCCCTAGATCTTTCATTTCAAATTCAATTTTAAGTTTTTCTTTGACTGAATCAACTTCAGATCTATTTCTACAGGCAAGAAGCATATCATCAACATACAGCAGTAAGTAAATGGAGTCAGGTCCTCCTGACCCTTTGAAGAAGAGACATGAATCAAAATTACTTTTAGAAAAACCCAAATGCTGAACATAAGAATAAAATTTCTTATACCATTGCCTTGGAGCCTGTTTTAGGCCATAAAGGGATTTCTTTAACAAGCAAACCTGTTCAGATTTTGAGTGAACTTCAAAACCTTTTGGTTGATACATATAAATGGTTTCTTCAAGGTCGCCATTTAGAAAGGCAGTTTTAACATCAAGTTGGTCCAATTCCCAGTTAAAATGGGTTGTCAGTGCAAGAAGGATTCTGATGGAAGTATACTTTGCAACAGGTGAAAAAATTTCATTATAGTCAATGCCCTCTCTTTGTGTAAAACCTTTAGCTACAAGCCTGGCTTTATATCTTTTTCCTAAAGTATCAGGTTCCCCTTCTTTGATCTTATAAACCCATTTACAGTCCACAATTTTTTGATATTTGGGTTTATCAACAAGAATCCAAGTCTTGTTCTTAATTAAAGAGTCCATTTCATCTTGCATGGCATCCTGCCATAGTTTGGAATCTTTACTTTTGACTGCTTCTTCAAAAGTCACAGGTTCAGAATTAACATATTCCATTTCAGAATAGAAGGTTACAAACTCATCAGAATTGATTCTGGTAGAGGGAAACCTATTTCTCCTACCTCTGTCCCTTGCCAACTGATAATTGTCCAGGGCATTTTCTTGGAAATATTCTTCAGTTTCAGATTCATTTTGGGACAGATCATTTTCAGAATGAGTAATCTCCACCTCAATCAGATTATCAGGTTCAGTCTGATTAGATATTTGATTTTCCAGTAAAGTTTCTTTAACCAGAAAAGGATGATCAGTGTTCTGTTCAGTAACAGTCTTACAAGGGAACTGGGTTTCATCAAAGATTACATTTCTACTAATGATAACTTTGAACCCATCCTTTTCTCTTACCCAAAGTCTATAACCCTTTGTTTCTTCTCCATAACCCAGAAAAACACATTTTTGAGATCTAGGTTCAAGCTTGCCTGCATCTTGATGTGCATAGGCAGCACAGCCAAAAATCCTTAATTTGAAGTAGCTAGGAGGATATCCAGACCATAGGTGTTCAGGGATTTGAAAATCAATAGCACTTGAAGGAATTCTATTTATCAAATAGGTGGCAGTTTTTAAGGCTTCACCCCAGAAAAATTTAGGAAGCTTAGAACCAAGTAACATACATCTCACCTTTTCCAGCAAAGTTCTGTTCATTCTCTCAGCAATACCATTTTGCTGAGGAGTGTATGTTACTGTTCTATGCCTCAAAATTCCAGATTCTTTACAAAAATAATCAAATTCATGGTTGCAGAATTCCAGACCATTGTCAGTTCTAAGTGCTTTAACTTTCTTATTAGTTTGATTTTCAATCATAAGTTTCCACTGTTTAAAATTTAGGAAAGTATCAGATTTATTTTTCAGAAGGAAAGTCCAAATTTTTCTTGAAAAATCATCTACAATCAGCAGATAGAATCTGAATCCACTTAGAGTGTTTACAGAGGCAGGACCCCACAGGTCTGCATGCAAATACTCAAGGATAGAGGTAGATTTATGAAATCCAGTTTTGAAAGGCAGTTTATTTTGTTTTCCAATAACACAGTCTTCACAAAATTTTAGGTTATCAATATTATCCTTTCCAAAACATTTCATCTTGTTTAAAATCATCAAACCCTTTTCACTTATATGACCTAGTCTCCTGTGCCAGATTAAGGATTTATTATCATCAGTCTTTACAGCAGCAGAGCTGTTCCCAACTAAGGGTTCAGCTTGCAGTGTGAAGATCCCATTGGATCTAGGAGAAGAAATTATTTCTTTTGAGTTAAGACTTATCCTGGTAAGACCTTTATGAATCCTTATATCATATTCATCATCCAGTTGCCCCAAGGAAATCAGGTTCCTTTGAAGATCAGGCACATATCTAGTCTGATTCAATTCTAGGATGTGATTGTTTTCCAATAGAAGCTTAAGGTTTCCAATACCTTTGATTTGACAAGTCATATCATTTCCCATCTGAACTTGACCACCACTAAGGTCTTTAAAATCAGTGAACCAATCTTTAATAGGACACATATGGAAAGAACACCCAGAGTCAAGCACCCATTCATTCTGATTTCTTTTAGTTGTAGTAACAAGGACAATTCCTTGAATTTCAGATTCATTTGTGCAGACCAGGTCTGCAGACCCATCAGTGCTGAACTTTCCTTTCATATCAGATATTTTCTTGAAACAGTCTTTTATGAGATGTCCTGATTTCCCACAGTAATAGCATGTTCTGCCTTGCATCTTGGGTTTAGATTGGTTCTTATTCTGATTTCTGAATTTTTGAAATTGTGGTTTCACTTTCTTATTGGTGTTGAAGTTGCATTGATTTCTCCTTTTGATCTGATTTACCTTCTCCCTAATGTTCAAGCCTTCTCCAAACTTAGAGTCTTTGACTTCAGTTTTTAATTCCAATTCTCTATTTCTTAGAGATGAAATCACAATGTCAACAGTAAGTTCAGTCCTCCCATACTCTGAGGCATTTCTTACTTCTCTGTATTTATCCCCTAGACCATTTAACAAAGCCACAACTTGTTGATCTTCAGACAATTTTTCATCACAGTCAGTTAGTTCTTGGACCAGTCTGGTGAATTTGTCAAGATTTTCTTCCAGATTAGAGGAGGAATTAAATCTAAAATTGTAGAATTGTCTTAGGAGATAGCATTTGTTGGGCATGCTTTTAGTCAGATAGAGAGATTCAAGTTTAGTCCAAAGACCCTGAGCATTAGTGGTTTCCCCAACCTTTCTAATTACAGTATCAGACAAATGAAGAAAAATGGAACTCCAGGCAACCTCATCTAACTCGTCTTCTATAAACACTGAATTCAGGATTCCAAGTACCATCAATAGCAGCAGCACATCTCTGCTGTAACGGCAGAGCCCTCATTTTTTGACGCCACAAACTAAAATCACCAGTCCCCCTCCATATCTCTACTTCGAATTTATGTGCAGCAGACATGATTTCAGACAAATTTAAGGAAGATATTCACACGAATGCAGCAGGTATAAACAGTGTAATGCAGAGAAATAACACAGCAGTATATGATCAGGAAATATGGAGATATAGTAACAGAATTGTCAGTTTGTCAGGTTTAAGGGGTGATAACCCTGTAATCCTCTACTCCCTCAGATTCCCAGATCCTCAGTGAGATCTTGGACAAAGGAAAGTAGAGGAGGATTACTTACCTTAATAACCAGGTCAAGACCAGACAATCAGTACTTATAATTTTCTAAAGGAGGGGGTTGAGAAGGCCTTACCAGAACTGAAGACGTTAAGTTTCAGAAACAGAAAGTAGCATTACAGAACACCAACCAGGTTCAAGAATTCCAGGAAGAGCACAAAGCAACACCGAGTTGCAGCAACTCAGTTGTAACCAGGAGTGAGTCAACTAAACTCACAATGACTCAGAACGAGTTCACACAGAGTTCCCGTTCAGTAACGAGTTATAGCCAAAAACAAGATCCAAGTAAACAGAACAAGATCTTAAGAATCCAGAACCCCAAAAACGTGTTTCCACTCAGAAAACACAAAACAAGAGCATTTAAAAAACCCAGTTTATATAGATCAAAGATTTGAGGAGGAATCCACTGAAGAATCTGGATCGAAGAGCAAATGAAACACACAATTTCAGAAAACCAAAGTTTTAACAAGTTTTTGTTCTAAAAAAAAAAGATCTGAGTATGACTGAAAAACGTTTTTACAAAAGAAAAAACCCTAACCCCCCTTTTATAGAAATGAGGCTCTGATACCACTTGTTGGTCCAGGATCAGTTATCCATAACACAAAACTTCAAGAATGTAAAAATACAGCAACAAGATAACAACACAAAGATTTTTTCGCCCCCTTTGGGAGCCCGGATGTTCAGCTTAAAAAGCCTACTCATCCATTGAGCATCTACACAGTAGATTATGCTCAAATCCACTAAGAATACCACAAAGTTCAGATTTACAGAATGTATGAAAAAATCGAAGATTTCTTCAAGTTTTCTCTCGCCTCTAACAAATATAGATTTCCTCTTACTAGTATATACACTATACACTCAGAAAATATCACTAAGATATTACAGATCGCACTAAGAGTCTCAAGAACCAAAATGGCGACAACCACTCTTGAGAGAGAACCAAGAGAGAAACCCTAGCAGAAGAGAAATCGATGTTAATCAAAGAAGAATCCAGAATATGGTATTTAAGGGCAACCATCCAACTTCTTCATCCAACGGTTTATAGGGTTACACGTGAAGGGAGAGGATTGTCACAACTTAAAANGTGAGGCAGCCCAGATTCCAACAAAAATAAATAAATAAGATCAAGAAACCCTCTAATTGTCCTTTGAATGCTTGGTTTCATCATAAGAGTGTGGATATCTGAAATCTAATTATCGAAAACGTTGAAAGAAAATTGTTAAAACTTTCAGAAAGTAAAAGCACATTCACAGTCACAATTTCATAGTTCCAAACTGATCAAATGGAGAGAAAAACTGAAAAAAAAAAAATCAAAAACTAATTGCGTAAATTTGTGAATTCTAATCTGACATAAACGGTATATCCTTCCAAATATTTGTTTAGTGTGATTTTCTTGAAAACATACAAAAAATGTTAGGTTCTTGATTTTTGCTCTTACTCTTCTTTCAGTGCTTAAATTTCTTCAGCTAAAGAGAGAGAAGTAACACGCATAGGCTCTTACAATCGAATTGGGATCAAAACCCTCGTCGAGCTCGCCCCAGGTCAATCCTGTCCAATCCAGCTTGATATCCATTGGCCCGTCTTGATCCCGCGGGATTTTATCTACAGTACTCTTTTTCACGCCGGATGGCCCTGCAGATGAACTGGATGCTTCCTCAGATGGATCCAGCTTTATCTTCTTAATGTATTTTAACGCCTCATCCTACACAGATTTCCACACATTCATTAAAACGGCGGTATTAAATTACATTGGAGTAATTGTAGATTAATTAAATTACCAGTATTCCCATGGAGTTCGTTGAATTGGGTGGATAAGATAAAATGAGGCATTTGAACTCAACAAAGTTAGCTGGATATAGCCTAGAAGAAGCAACCAGAATGGCCAAAGCTGCTACAGTCGATGGCCTGTACTTTGTGAGTTTCATTACTGCAATTGAAATTCAACCAAAAAAAAAAAAATGAAGCAAGCAACGAATGTTCAAGAAACCTCAAGGAAAAACTCGAAAAGATTTTAGAAAAATAAAAAGAAAGAAAGAATCATCAACATGCTTGAGATTTGATAATGATCTGATGAACAGAACGGCGAGGGATCACTGGATGTGTAGGTGACAGGCGGTGGAAGCGATTGATGAAGTAGTCCACGTAGAAAATCGGAGTTATAGATCGCATTTCCCATTTCAGTCGGCAGCAAATTGCCAACTCCATTCTAGATACCTCCTTCATTTTGTACCTAAACAGAGGGTTTCGCATGTCCTATGTTCACATTGCTCACAAATCAATAGTACGCAGATTTATTTTTCTGATTAAGATTAAAATCAATAAATTATCACTTAAAGTTAATTTAATCACCAGAAGTTGCGCAATTTTGAATTTATCATTTCTCATCTTCGAAGCAATGGAGAGGCAACAGGTCAAAAAAAGATTAGTGTTTCGCTTGGGAGATCCTGGAATCACTTCCTGTAAAAAAAAAATTAAGTTCACCCAGAAAATTAAGAAACCGAAAATAATGTTATTTTTACCGGGATATCATAAGTTGAAATGAATCGATCCATGTAGGCCACCGCCAAGTACGGTATGAATGCATCAAACTTCTCACATTCGGATTTCTTCAATAATTAATCAAACGATCTCATCATTCTCAAAAACATAAAGAATTTTTCTGGGTACAATAATTAATTGATGTTATTTACCTGTTCCATAAACGTAATGGCATATCGGCGAAATGAACGGAATAGATGTATTTTAGCGTAGAATGGAGGCGGCATGAATTCATTTTCGACATTGAAGAATTCGTTGAAAATATCTTTACTGTCTTCTGGAATCAGATTGTAGTAGATATCATAGGGTAAGGATTTTTCTTCTTCTTTTTCTTGTGAATCCATCTTACTTCGCTTCTTTTGAATTTGATTCTCTGTTTATGTATTCTAGAGAGAGAGCTGTGAAGTCAATTAGCTAGCATGGATTGAATCTGTGTTTCTTTCTGTATATATAAGCTTCAAACGTAAAGAGTCCAGTTTTGGGCGGTTAGTTCGGTAATTTGAGAATTTTGACGGTAACGCCCCGTCAAGATTTGACGGTAACATTAACGGAGGAGCTACTAGTGTTCAAATTTGGGTAAATTTCAGAAAAATTCAATTAAGCCACTATACTTTAATTTGTCGAAATTGGGTCATTTGAACTTCAATTTAATTTCAAATTTCTCCTAAGTCCGATTTAACGTCTTTCTTTATTCAGTTCGGGCCGATGCCGATTACCAAATTTCCCATTCTATCTGTTTTTCTCAATTTTGGGAAAAAAGTAGTACCTATAAACATATGATGTAAGACATCTTCAACATGTGGTTATGTTAGCTCATTCATCTTCCATCAAACATTACACTTTTTTCTTATCTTCATCACATCCGGTTTATACTTACTTTCATCATACACATTTGAAGAAAGATACCAACACATTCTTTTTCTTCTGCAAATTCTCAATCATGGCCTCCTCCACTCTCTCCCCTCCCACCCCTTCTCAGGTACAAATAAAACTTTCCAATTCTTCTATCTGCAGATTCTTGCACTGACATGCTTGTTTTTTCCAGCTTTGTTCAAGCAAGAATGGGCTGTTTGCTCCATCCCAAGCTGTAATGTTCAAGTCCACGAGGAGCCTTCAAAAGGGTAATGGCAAGGGTATGAAGATCAGATGCCAGGCAACCAGTATTCCGGCTGACAGGGTGCCAGACATGGGAAAAAGACAGCTTTTGAACTTGCTCCTTTTAGGTGCTATTTCACTTCCCACTGCTGGCATGCTGGTTCCTTATGCTTCTTTCTTAGCACCCCCCGGGTTAGTTCGATTTCATTTACTGATATCTTGCGACTTGAAGTTCTGAGTACTTTCTTGGTATTACCGCAAATCTTAAGTTATAATTATAATTTGAACTATCTACATATTTCGTATGACTCAAAATTTATTATTCACAAATTTCGTAGGACCCACAACTTTAAACAAGAGAATAAAATTTTTTTTATGACAGAATTAAATTTTCGTAGGACTCAAAAACTTATGTATGATAAAATCGAGAATAAATTGTTCCTACATCATGTGAAGTAATGAAGGAAAGAATTTCTTCTTGATTGATGGTGAATTTCTAGCTTGTTTGTGTTAAAAGATATTGATCTACTATTCTATCTAATTTCTTTGAGCTGATAACTTGTGATCTCTTAAAGTAGCTAGGCGCGGATAAAGCCATCTTTATCTCGATGTAGTCTTTGTCATTTGATCCAATAATAACTTACTTATTGAAATCAACAGGTCAGGAGGTGCTGGAGGTGGTCAAGTGGCTAAGGATGCCCTCGGGAATGATGTAATAGCTGAAGTGTGGCTGAAAAATCATGGACCCGGTGACAGAACCCTTACTCAAGGCTTGAAGGTACACTTTTCTCATTTCACACCATCGTGCGCATAGTTCTATTCACTACTGCACACCAAATATTCCCGCCCTCTAAATTTCTAAGAGACGTCTAATGTGAAAAACAAGTGCAGGGAGATCCGACCTACCTGGTAGTCGAAAATGACAGAACACTGGCAACCTATGGTATAAATGCTGTGTGCACACATCTAGGATGTGTTGTGCCATGGAATGCAGCAGAGAACAAGTTCATTTGTCCATGCCATGGCTCTCAATACAACAATCAAGGCAGAGTTGTTAGAGGTCCTGCTCCTCTGGTAAGCACAAATTCTCACAAGGGCTATCGTATTTTTTTTTTTCTTTTCAATTTGTTGTGTGCTAACTAATATTTATGTGCTGTACTATTCGGAACAGTCCTTGGCTCTGGCACATGCAGATGTTGATGATGGAAACGTTGTGTTTGTTCCATGGGTTGAAACTGATTTCAGAACAGGAGATGCTCCATGGTGGGCTTGAAGTCTTTATATAGATGATGTTTTGTTTTCCACATTTTCATTTAATTCAGCAAAACTGTAAACTTCAATTGAAGAAAAATAATATGCATATCCAAATTCACTCTGTTGTTATTATTTACCTTTGATCATGAAAATTACGTTTACCAGAATACATTTTGTATCCTTAAACCACTCAAAGAGGTATTGTAACATTCTAAAACACACATACTTCATAGTAAATACAAAACTATACGAGGAACATGTGATATACAATTCAAGAAAAATGTCATATTCGAGAGAGAGTTTGATAGCTAATCATATGAAAACCATGCACAGTTGCATGAATGTTATACAGGATACTCCATGAATGTTATAAAAAAATTGATCTTTTCCCTTCCATAATGCAAACCTGAGATATAACTCAGCCAGCCTGAAAATGATAGTCTCAAGAAAAAGTCCAATACCATACATCTACTTAAAAATATGTGTATTGTAGCTGCTGATGGATTCATCAGAGACAATCGATAATGTCAAATGCAAAAATTTCACTTCTATGAAGTTTTTATCAAATGAGTACAAAAAGCAGTAAGAAAGCAAAAATACCTCAATGAATGCTGCTGGAGATAATCTAATAGTGTACTCTGCAGCAATGCGACCATCTTAAACTGCCACAACCTTAAAGGCCTCCAGTATATTGTTTCGATCATAGTTTGAATTTTGTTTATTCTAACAAAATCCATTCAAGGGACAATAATACTAAGCCCTGATTGGTGAAAGTTAAAATCTAGATTTTAAGTTAACAATTAAATTTAACTACGTATTTCGAGAGATCCACAACTTTTCAACCACGCATTTCATCTTTTATTAAAATCTGATTTTTAATCTAGACCAAACAGTGGCTAATTAAAGAAAATATTATATATTATTAAAATATTATTAAGCTCGAACTATTTCATACTTTTAATTAACTCGACCAATCCATCAAACTCAATGTTACCATGGGCATTTTAACTTGATGTTATAGTCGAATTTGAAGACTTGATTAAAAATCCGGAGTGGATAATAAATTAAATTTTCACTTAAAAAGAAAAAGAAAATATATGCTGCTCTTGTTTGAACCACATTAAAATTTTCATTTTCATTCTACTACTAATTTTCAACAACTTATTTTTTAATAAAATAATATTTTTCATCACATCAATAATTTTTCTTTCTTTTTCAACCACACATTCTTTCTCTATCAATCTATTGTTTCAAAATAAATTCTTCCAAAATAACGTGGCTCAAACGCACCCGCAACCTCTTTGCCCCAAAATTTATGTTTTTTGGATAACACCTAGGCACATGGGCCCCATCTCCCGCGCAATTAACGTTTATCTCCGATTTCTGGTTAGTCTTCGGACGGAAAAGTATATCACGGAGTGATCAGTAATGGAACCCTTAACCCCTGAGAATTCCCATTCACGCGTCTTCGCTTTCGTTTTAATCATCACCTACTCTCCCCCTTTAAACACACACAACAGGAGCGCACATGCTAAGAAAGAATCTTTGGAGGCTAAGAAATTGAATATCCTTTCGAAACTACTGCAGTACTGCTTGCTTCGAATATCTGCATTTGAATCTTCGTTGAATTCTTGCCTAGGTAAAGTATTTTGCTTTTCCCTACTTTTTATTGTTTATGGATTAAAGAAATGGGTTTGCTCTTTGAGAAACTGATTTGTCTGAAATTTTGAAATTTATGGGGTCCATTGACAAATTTTCGTTTCGTTCTGCAAATTTTGTGGGTAGATTGGTCACTGGAACACGAATCATGGCTAGGGAGCTAAAACAATCGGTTCAGAATTTTTTCAATAAAAGGTGAGCACTTTATTTGCCTTGGTGAATTTTCAATTTTTCTATTGTGATTATTTTCTTCCTTGATTGAATGTATTGCTTAGTGCATTGATCAATGGTGAAAAATTATTTCTTTTATTTAGTTAGAAACACCAACGTCAGACTCCTGGATCGTATGTGCCCTGGTTTACCACTCGTGCTTGAAGCTTTTGGAAGTACAAAGAATTAGCCATAAAACACACAACTCATAACTAAGAATGAAAAATTTGCATTTTTCATGTCTTTCATCTGCTTTTCTAACTATGTTCCATAGTTCTCTAGAGTATTTTAGAAAGTTCATGTGCAGCATAACACGAGGTCTTCTTGACATCTCGTGCCATGTGCATCAAATGGATCAATTTGTGTAAAACTTAGAGTCCTAAATTTTTTGATGGGTGCATGCTTCGTTGCCATATACATGTTTATGGGCTTCTGTAAATGACATTTATCATTCATTAGATTTGACATGATCTAAATGCTTTAATGGTAAGAACTTGATTATCTATAGCTGCGTTTTGTTTTATAACATTTCTCAATGTTGTCTTCCAGTCAAGAAGCTTCTATCGATGATTCAGAAGCTGCAGGCATTTTGAAGGAGTACTACATTCCTGATTACATATTTCTACCTGAGTCAGAAATTAGAGCGGGATACCACGTTCCTGCATGTCCGGTGATAGTATTTGTCAATTCCAAGAGTGGTGGGCAGCTGGGTGGTGAACTTCTAATAACTTATCGTACACTTCTTAACAAAAATCAGGTTCCATTTTCCCGTTTCAATTTTTTTTTCTTGTTCTTTTGACTGCAAAAATAAGAAAATCAATTATGGAAGAATTTAGACTGTAGGTTCTTACTCAAAAGAGTTTTGACATTAGGATTTACTTATTTTTCAGGTGTTTGATTTGACAGAACACATGCCCGACAAGGTGCTGCACCGAGTGTATTTAAGTTTAGAGAAGCACAAACAAAATGGAGATGAGTTATCTGCTGAAATTCAGAGGAAATTGAAAATCATTGTAAGTTAAATAAGCAACTCCTATTTTTTAACTATGGATTCAACTTAGATGTGCCTAATAGGGTTGGTGTAGCTTGTATACTTAACAAATAATTTTATGGATATTGTGATTTA